CCCCCCCCCCCCCCCCCCCCCCCCCCCCCCCCCCCCCCCCCCCCCCCCCCCCCCCCCCCCCCCCGCGGATACATTGTGCTATGGCGTTCAGATAAGAAACGCACCGACGAGCCGAATGCTATAAAATAAATTTTGAGAATCATTCCTGTTAATAATCTAATAATGATCATTCCCTGTTCAAACCATAGTGTCCATAAATTTTAGTTTTAAAGAAATCATAGAATTCATTTCTAACATCCGGCATCGAATGTCAGAACTTGGAAAAAAACTATTTTGTGTTAATATCTTTCAATTTTTCTACAGTTATTCTTGCCGCTTGAATTTTAAAACTTACCACGAGTTCTCAAAATTTATCTTTACTTTGTACTTTAATTAGAGGAAGATTCATGAATGGACCATTATCGATCATAAGCATTGAGATATTTTTCATTTTTTATGCTGAGCGGTTAAAAATCTTTGAAATTTCTTTTGAAAACATCAAATTTCTGTTTCATAAAATTCCATAATACAAAATTTTCAGACCGAATAATGATCATGACATTTTTGTTGTTATTTGCATGATGAAGTCTTGCATTTTGATCCTGTTATGAACTTATACAGATCAGTAATATTCAACAAACAGTAAACAGACAATGCTTGACTATTTAAGAGAAAGTACATTATTTTGATGAACTTTAGAGTGATGATTTTTGAAGGAATGATCAAAATAAGACTGTCTAATGTCTTAAAATGGTATATGAGTATTACTGTTGCTCCATGAACTTTTTAACATTATTATCAATAATTTCTCACTGATGTTACACGAAAAAAAACATATTTAGTACTAATTTGAAAATACTTTTAAAGAAAAATGCAGTTCTCGATGTTTGCCATCCATTAACACCATGGTATCTTATGAATTTCATCAGAATAAGTGATAAGCATATCAATTCTAATAATGACATCAGGACTTTCATAGATGTTCAAAATTGCTCTATCAAATAAAACAGTTAAATATCTTTTACCATTCCGTTTATTTGATACGGATGCTTTTCTCAAATGTTATAATTACTGAATTCTTCACTTCTAGGCATAGGCAGCGGAACGTTTTGAATTTAGGGGAGGCTCAAATTTTTTTCAACGAACGATAAAAAGTCGATATTTCGAGAGAAGATAGACTTTTAAAATTCGTTGTCACAACTTTGATTGAAAAAGTTTCCTGTATTGATCTATTTATATGGTAGCACAACAATCGAAAATTCTGTTCCTAGTCAAGAATCACTTAACGCATCCCCAGAGTCCCCACCAATTTTAGACTTTTTAGAAGGGCCTGTCATGAGTTCCCGAGGAGTTAAGAGAAATATGAAAATTTCTATCGAGACTATCAAAAGTCTACGTAAAAATCCGAAAGTGTCTTCGAAAATTTCTAAAAGATTTCTAAAAACTGAGTGGAGAGTGTCTTAGAAATTCCAAGAAACTCTCTGTTCACTTCTCGAGATTTCTATGGCGCTTTCCAGTCATTTTTTAGAAATCCCTTACGAATTTTCGAAGATACTTTCGAATTTTTACGTAGGGTTTTGATAGTCTCGATAGAAAGTTTTCAAATTCTTCTTAACTCGTCGAGGACTCATGACAGGGACTGCCTGGGGATTCATTAGGTGATTCTCGACTAGGGACTATACTATCAAAATTGTTATTTCCTTATCAACATAAGCATAAAAAAATCTTAAACTTTGACTAAAGCAAACATATCATAGGTACAAAAACTATTGTTCATACCCAGTAACGTCTTTTCTCTAGTTTTTTGCAATACACTCAGAGTAAATGCTCTTCGTGTCTAACTGATCTAGTTTCCCTTAATGAATATGAGAAATAAAGGCATGATTAAAGCGTTGTTGTGTCATTATTGATCGTAGATGTCTTTATTCCATTTATAACACTGAAGCATATATGAGCCGCAGCCGTTGAAGTGAGATTTGTTAACTATAAATGCAATAATTTACAATATTCATGAAACAGATTTCCTAATATATTGT